TGTTGCGCCCAGGGTCACACGACTCGTGTCATAAGACACACGAGTCGTGTGAAAATGCCGAGAGCAGGTATCGGATCCGTTTCGCGCGACACGAGTCGTGTCCGACGTCACACGACCCGTGTGGACCTGGGCGCCTAAAATCTTCACTTTTCGCACAGCTCATGTCTCCTGATACGTTTTCTAACATCTCCGGTGGCTCAGGACGTCGTGCGGGTTATCATGGCAGCTTCCATTTCGTCAACATGGCACTTCGTACGTGAAATTCCGGCGGCTTTTGACAGCAGCTTTTCCGGCGCGTCTGTGACGTCCAAGCTTCTTCTCCGTCGATAAGGATGGCTGATGAGGTCTTAAAAATGGTCTCCGGTGTCTGGTAGTGGCGCGGTGGCGAGTTGGCAGCTTGGTCGAGCACTTCAAAGCTCAACAATGGCGGACGATGTGTTGTGAAGAAGAAGAGCTTTTACTTGCAACTCTCAAAATTACCATATTGCCATTACTTGCATTATTGAGTTTGGGCTGAATTTATAAGCCTTAATGGGCTAGTTGGATGGCCCATCTAAGCAAATAAAATGTCCTGCTACATATTTCTTGCGGGCTGTGTAATTGGGCTCGTCTCAATTTATGGTTCGCACTCCCTTTATGTCCGTTTCACGCCGTTTTCGACTCTAAGATTATATCAACCCCATTTCCTATCAAAACTCAAATAAAACACCTCATCATAGCTTAATAAAATTAATTAAATAAATAATTAATTATATAATAATCAATTAAATAATAACTAATTATATATCAAACTAGACGAAACGGACACGAAAATCACTATAAAATGCACGTAAATGTGACGCATGTCAAATCCCCCAAACTTAACCATTGTTCGTCCCCGAACAACGAATAAGCAAAAACAAACCATGTGCATGAAAAGTGATTTCAAACAAGAAAAGCCTCAAGTCACTTAAATAATAAAGATAAATTCAAGTAATCGCAAATACATATGCCACAACTCTTAACTTGATAAAAACTTTGAATTAATGAACTCTCAAATAAGGTCAAATATATATGTGCCTCACTCAAATATCTTGTGAAATATCATTAAAGAAATAGAAGGGTACACTCAAGTTAGTTCGAAACACAAAGTCAACCATAAGCTTGCAAATCGTCTACACTTTACTAAACACAATTAATGTACGTGAGCTATGAATCAAAAGGTCTTTTGGGTTGTAATGTAGGCTCTTTGGACAAGGTAGGAAAATATAGGCCAAGTGACTAAAAAAATCGAACAAGACATCGATGAAAAATCACCATCCCCTATATCCAATTATCTCCCAAGAAAACATACATACACAACTCTATACATCACAATACCATATATGCAAATCTCGGCAATTGATCAAATTTTTTTTTTTTCAACTTTTTTTTCTCTTTTTTTT